TTCATCAAGCAGCAGGCGTCCTTCAGGTCGTACCTGGAAGGTCTCAAGAAGGTTCCCATCCCCCTGGACGCTCTTGACGACAAGGCCACCAAGACGTATGCTGCTGCTGTCAAGAACATCCGCGAGAGGTACGTCCGTCCGGACCGGACCACCCATATTTCCCGGTGATTTTTGAGTCGACTCCTCTCATCCCCTTCCTCCGCTTCCCCCCTCGACCTCTGCGCGTCCCCATGGTTGCCGCTGACGACAAGGCCACCAAGACGTACGCTGCTGCTGTCAAGAACATCCGGGAGAGGTATTTCACTATGCTCCCTCCCTCACTCCCTTACCTCATCCTCGTCCTCCGTCCCTCTTCCCATCCCCCTGGACGCTGCTGACGACAAGGCCACCAAGACGTATGCTGCTGCTGTCAAGAACATTCGCGAGAGGTACGCATTTCCTTCGTTCCTTTGATTCGAATCAGCAGGATTTACATAGAGAGGTACCTACCAACCCTTCCCCCACACCCAGCCCATCCCCGGCGTCCCGCCCTTTTCTGGCTGAGAATCTCACCAAGCTGCTGGGCTTTGCCATGCCTTCTCCTTCTCCTCGGCATAACCTGAGAAGGCCGTGCCATGTCTCATAACCCTCCTTCTTCCCTCTCCCCCACCTCCCTCTCCTCCCTCGCTCTCTTTGCATCTGGGCATTCCCTCCTGCTGGAGTCAGGAGAGGAGGATTTTGCCATGCCCCTAACCCTCCATTCCCCTCCCCCCTCCCCCCTTCCCCCTTCCCCCCCTCCCTTTCCACCCCCCCCCCCCCCCCCCTGCTTGCAGCCTGGGCATTCCCTCTTTTTCCAAGAAGCTCTCCAACCTGCTGAAGTCAGCAGAGGAGGATCCGGCCATGCCCCTAAACGTCCTCTTTTCCCATCCTCCCCCTTCCCCCCCTCCCCCCCCTCTTCTTTTCCACCCCCCTCCCCCCCCCCCCCCCCCCCCCCCCCCTGTTTTCAGCCTCGGCATCCCCTCGTTTTCCGAGAAGCTCACCAACCTGCTGGAGTCTGCTGGAGCCCCCTAACTTCCCATCCCGCCCCCACGTCCCTCCCCTGCCGGCCCCACGTCCCTCCCCTGCCAGCCCCACGTCCCTCCCCTGCCAGCCCCACGTCCCTCCCCTGCCGGCCCCACGTCCCTCCCCTGCCAGCCCCACGTCCCTCCCCTGCCAGCCCCACGTCCCTCCCCTGCCAGCCCCACGTCCCTCCCCTGCCAGCCCCACGTCCCTCCCCTGCCAGCCCCACGTCCCTCCCCTGCCAGCCCCACGTCCCTCCCCTGCCAGCCCCACGTCCCTCCCCTGCCAGCCCCACGTCCCTCCCCTGCCAGCCCCACGTCCCTCCCCTGCCAGCCCCACGTCCCTCCCCTGCCAGCCCCACGTCCCTCCCCTGCCAGCCCCACGTCCCTCCCCTGCCAGCCCCACGTCCCTCCCCTGCCAGCCCCACGTCCCTCCCCTGCCAGCCCCACGTCCCTCCCCTGCCAGCCCCACGTCCCTCCCCTGCCAGCCCCACGTCCCTCCCCTGCCAGCCCCACGTCCCTCCCCTGCCAGCCCCACGTCCCTCCCCTGCCTCCCTTTCTTCTCCTTACAGCCTGGGCACCCCCTCCTTCTCCCAGAAGCTCTCCAACCTGCTGGAGTCTGCAGAGGAGGATCCGGCCATGCCCCTAACCTTCCCATCCTCTTGCTTATCCCTCCCCCCCCCCCCCCCCCCCCCATCCTCTCTCCCTCCACCCAAAACCCCCCAGCCTGGGCATCCCCTCGTTTTCCGAGAAGCTCACCAACCTGCTGGAGTCAGCAGAGGAGGATTCGCGAGACGTGCGCAGCTTCCTGGAAGAGTCCCGCATCATCCGCAGGCAGTGAGTGGACCGTGCTCGTTTCTCACTGAACGAGTTTGTAACGAGGTACCTTGTAGCGAGGCACTTCGTAATGAGGCACCTTGTAGCGAGACACTTTGTAGTGCTCCAGTTCCTCCACCCCAAGCGTTGCGTTGGAGGATGACTTTTGAGTCGACTCAAAAGTCACCTACCCCAAGCGTTGCGTTGGAGGATGACATTTGAGTCGACTCAAAAGTCACCTACCCCAAGCGTTGCATTGGAGGATGACTTTTGAGTCGACTCAAAAGACACCTACCCCAAGCGTTGCGTTGGAGGAGGTCGAACTAGGAGCTGAAAAACGCATGAAGAAGACGCTTTGGAAGGCATTTCCCTCTCCTCCCTTCCCTGGCATCCCCCCCCCCACTTCTGCTTGAACCACCTACTCCCTACACCAGGGCTGGGAGTGGAGGACAGGCTGGGAGCGGAGCGGAGAAGCTGATGTTTGCGGCGCTGGACAGCGTGGAGAAGACGACAGGCAAATCATTCCCCTCTCCGTCTCATCCCTGTGCATTCTGCTGCATGCAGGCTGGGAGTGGAGGACAAGCTAGGAGCCGAGAAGCTCATGTTTGCAGTGGTGGGCAGTGTGGAGAAGAAGCTCGGGAAGGCATTCCCCTTTCCCGAATCCCCTGACTGACTCCAACCTTCCCCATTCCGCTGTAAACCACCTCTTGGCATGCAGGCTGGGAGTGGAGGACAAGCTAGGAGCCGAGAAGCTGATGTTTGCGGCGCTGGACAGTGTGGAGAAGAAGCTCGGGAAGGCGCTGGTGGGGGATGACGTGAAGGGCATGGCGCTGCTGCAGGAGGAGGTCAACGCCATCAACAAGAAGTGAGCGCTGTAGTATTAGCCCATAGTGCTGTGCTAGAGTGATGTGGATGGTTGTTGTACAGTGTACATCGTATCGGTAGGGGATGACGTGAAGGGCATGGCGCTGCTGCAGGAAGTGAATTGTTGGTGAGTGCATAGGGCTGGGCTTGAGTGATGTGGATGGTGGTAGTACAGTGGAGTGCACATGGTGCTGGTGGAGGATGATCCCAAGGGCATGGCGATGTTGCAGGAGGAGGTGAATGCCATCGATAAGAAGTGAGTGCTGAATGAAGAGAGAGAATGTCACGATGCTTTCTCTTCAGTGGGGATGATGTGACGTGCCAAGAAAGACATTACTGCTTCGGATATCTGGTGCCTTACTTTCTTCCGGCTGCATTCCTGCTGCTTGCTGCCGGGTGGGATCTTGTTTACTCAACTCAAAAATCGCTGCTTGCTGCCAGGTTGGAGCTCAAGGCCGGCGAGCTGGAAGCTCTAGAGCAGCAGCAGGAGACAAATAGGGCCAGGACAGACATTGCTGCCTCTGGAATGTCACCCTTGACTTACCCCCCCACGTCCTGCTCTCCCCTCTTTCTGCTGTCGCAATCACGCCAGGCTGGGGCTCAAGGACGGTGAGCTGGAAGCTCTAGAGCAGCAGCTGGAGACGAGCATGGCCAAGGCAGACGGCGCTGCTTCTGGACTGTCCCCCTTGACTAGCTGCCCCCCACGTCCTGCTATCCCCTCTTGACCACCAGGTTGGGGCTGAAGGATGGCGAGCTGGAGGCGCTGGAGCAGCAGCTGGAGACGAGCATGGCCAAGACAGACATTGCAGCCTTTGCTAGTGAAGCTACCGAGAAGATTGGCACGTACAAGAAGAGGTACGCGCGTGTCGGTGTGTGTTAGTAATTTCGGTTTGAGGCGTCTCAAGAGGAGATCACACATCAGAGAAGATTGGATTGGCAGGTACAAGAAGGGGTACGCGTGCGTCGGTGTATGAAGAGGTGGGTTGGAGCATGCCTACATTCCATTTCCCTTATCTCAATCTCCTCGGTAAACAAGGTGTGAAAGATTTGACTGTTCAAAGGGGTCTCAGAATCTCAGATCATACCTCTTCCTTTTTCGCATTAGACATCCCCTCCCCTCCCCTCCCCTCCCCTCCCTTCCCCTCCCCTCCCCTCCCCTCCTACCACCACCACCGTGTCGCACTCTGTTCATAGCAAGGCTCATCACTCCTGCCTTGTACGCAGTGACTTTTGAGTCGACTCAAAAGTCACCTCATCACTCCTGCCTTGTACGTACAGGGATGGTCTGGAGGGCGTGGAGGTGGATCTCAGGGCCTTGGACCCCAAGACCTACATGTGATGCAAAGGCCTGCATGTGAGCCCTACATGTGGATCACTGCATCGGTATTGTGCTTCTCTGTTTTCCTTTCCTCAGGGATGGTCTGGAGGGCGTGGAGGTGGATCTCAAGGCCCTGGACCCCAAGGCCTACATGTGATGTGGGGGAGGCGAAAGCTCGTGCCTGGATGGAAGCGAACGCGTAATGCATGCCCTCACGCATGCACCACATCATACCAACAAACCATTCACAACCTCACCATGCACGAGCAATGGCCATGTGCATAGTTTCTCAATCTGGCACAAATCAATAGCCGCAGGAATGTATTGTGTAATTGAGCTCTATTTTCATTCATCTTAATATAAGGTCTCATATCTCACCTCTTTTCTCGAGTTCTCTAGATTTAGTGTGGCTTTCAAATATAATTTGTGTGTATCAAATTTTAGCGAAACAGAACGAAAATCCCAAGGACTATGGTCCTGTCGTTCACAGCCCCGACAACTTTGTCCAGATTTGCGACGTTCGTCCAGCCTCTCGCCACACGTCGTTCGTTTTGTCTTGGCGATTCGACTGCCATCACCCTGGGCTTGCTCCTCAGATGGGTGGGACTGTCGTGTCGTCGCCCCCACACCAGTCCCTCCAGGTGGAGCTACCCTCAGTTTCCTGTCCCCCGCCCGCAGCATCAGGACAGCAGCACCCGCGGAGAAAAGTACGGTTCCGCGGATCATCACTTTGCGCGGGCGGAGTCCCCAAGGGACAATCACCCAGCCATCTGTTCCTTCCGCATCCCCCGCATCCCCCGCATCCCCCCTTCCTGGCACACATTCGCTCCCCCCGCCATTGCTCCCCTCCCCTATCATCAACCCCCCCCCTTCCTCCCCCCACCTCTCCCTCCCCCCACCTCTCCCACCACCCCCCTCCGCAATTCCAGTGCGGGGCGGCCTAGAGTATTTCGCCCCGACCAGAACCTAATTGATCGGTCCGTACTTTTTCTGGCCGTTCAGGTGAAGGCGGCTCCAGGGAATGTGACTGCGTGCAACACGCACACTGTAGCCGTCTTTCACGGTTCCTTATGTAACTTTCCCTGTGCTGAAACTGGAGCGAGCTGCACGCTCGCCTTGCTGGAATCTAGAGTAGACCATTTCCTCATATATTTATGTCTCAGTTCCGTTTCTTAGCCTGGTGCAGCAAATGACGGTCCTTAACTGGTAATAACGTAGCTTGAACAAGTATATTTAGGCCATCGGAGCCAACCAAGCTTCTGAAACGCGTGTTGCAGGGTCGCCGAACCGTCAGGGGGAGACCTTAATTCGTTCTATCTTATCCTTTATTTTACACGTCGAAGATGCGGCGTCTAGCCGGCTCGTTGCTACTAGCGACGATAGTGCTCTTGCTGGTCGGGTTCGCCGGTCATGCGTCGGCTCAAAAGCTATGCCTTGACTCGAGTAAGTTAGTCCTGGACGCATGCACGTTCCTCCTCTGATGAACTCTGAGCTCACCGTAACCGTTGATGCAATGCATCTCGACCGCTGACTATTCTGACCGCCACGATGAGGCTTGGCGCGACTTCGATTCGAAATCGAAAGCGCGACTTCATTTTGAACTCGAAAGCGCGACTCCGTATTGAACTCGAAACGAGACGTCCTTTACACTGTGTTCTTTCTCGTCTGTCAAATTCTGACCGTTGCTTTCGTCATCCGTCCTTCTCTGTTGAAACTTAGCCAAGCTTCTCGTGCAGGTAGTCGGATCCGCTTGCGAGTCTGTCAGCCGTCAGCTTTCTGTCCGTCAGTCTATTTCGCCTGTCAGTGTGAACGTCGCGCTTTGCGTCGACTCAAAAGCCACCTTCCCCCTATACCCTTTCCCTCTCTCCAGCCCAACCTCAGATTCCGAAGGACCAGCTGCAGATATGCATGCAGGCAGTACAACATCGAGAGCTGCTGCACGAACGCGGTTGCACTAGCGAGAGGAACGTCGCCCTTCGCGTCGACTCAAATGCCACATTCCCCTTTTTCCCTCCCCCTCTCCCCCTCTCCCCCTCTCCCCTCTCCCCCTCTCCCCCTCCCCCCTCTCCCCTCCCTCTCCAGCGCAACCGCAGATTCCGAAGGACCAGCTGCAGATCTGCGGGCAGTACAACAACGAGAGCTGCTGCACGAACCCGCGGGCCGTGGAGATTGCGAAGAAGTTGGCGGAGCACAGCGCCGCCATGGGCGCCAACCCCGCCGCCAAGAATTGCCTCCGCGCGCTGGAAGCAGTGCTCTGCGCCGTAAGTGGGGTGTGTGGGGGGGGGGGAGGGAGGGAGCGGTTTTGGAGGGGGGAGGGAGTTGGGGGTGGGGGGGCGGAGTTTGAGGGGGTGGGGGGGGAGGGAGTTGGAGGGGAAGGGGGAGGGGGTACCAAGCCTCTGCTCCAGAACAGCACTGCCATGGGCGCCAAACTCCGCCGCCAAGAACTGCCTCTGCGTGCTGGAAGCAGTGCTCTGTGCCGTGAGTGCCTGCTGTGTGTGTGTGTGTGTGTGTGTGTGTGTGTGTGTGTGTGTGTGTGTGTGTGTGTGTGTGCGTCGAAGTGTGCTGTGTGCAGTAAATCCCTTTTGTCCAGCACCCCCCCTTTTGAGTCGAGTCAAAAGTACCTGCTGTGTGTGTGTGCGTCGAAATGTGCTGTGTGCGTGCGGTGAGTGCTGCGTGGGGTGCAGCGAATCCCTTTTGACCAGCACCCCCCCTTTTGTTCCTATAGACCTCGAAGTTCCCACCACACGACCTGCCGTCTCAAACCCTTCGCGAACCAATGATTGCACTTTCTATTCTGTTGCATCCCCATCCCCCCCCTGCCAACCCATCCCATCACGCCCCAACTCTCCCTCTACACCAAGAGTGCGACCCCTACACGACGCAGCTCTATTCCCGTTACCACTGTGGCCGCTCGCTACGCCGACGTGCCGTACCTCCTCTCACTCTCTCGTTCTCCCTTTCAACCCCGTTTCCTTATTCCAACCCTACCAACCACACCCACAGGAGTGCCACTCAGCTCTACGCCCGGGACCACACCGGGACCACACCGGCCGCTACGCCGACGTGCCGTACCTCTGCGCAGCGCAGTCCAACCACTCCCTTTCAACCCCGTTCCCCCTTCCAACCCTACCAACCACACCCACCAGGAGTGCGACCCCTATTCCACTCAGCTTTACTCCCGCGACCACACTGGCCACCACGCCGGCATTCCGTACCTCTGCGCAGCGCAGTCCAACCGCAGCCCCGTAGAAACCCGGCCCTTCTGCTCCATTGTCTGGGACGTCTGCACCATGGTCCGCATGCAGGGAGTGTCACTCCTGAGCAGCTGTGTGTAATGAGTCGATTTTTTAGTCGACTCAAAATCGACTCATTACACAGGGAGTGTCACTCCTGAGCAGCTGTGCTCCGACTCCCAGGATCACGATTCACAAGAGCAATTCCTTGCCATGCCCTTTCACCCCGTCCCTAACACCAGGAGTGCGACCCCTACGCCACCCAGCTCTATTCCCTGGACCACACCGGCCGCTACGCCGGCCGTACACGTGCACAGCGCAGCCCAACCGCGACCCCATAGAGACACAGCCCTTCTGCTGGACCGTCCTCGATGTCGACCCTCCTCTGGGGCTAGAATGTGATTTCTACACCTCTTCACATGCCCTTTCTCCTTCACCCAACCCCTCCCCTTCTCCCCCCCCCCCCCCCCCCCCTCCTTCACAACCCCACACCAGGAGTGCGATCCCTATGCCACGCAGCTCTACTCCCGGGACCGCAACGGCCGCTACGCCGACGTGCCGTATCTCTGCACAGCGCAGTCCAACCGCGACCCCGTAGAGTCGCAGCCCTTCTGCTCCACCGTCTGGGACGTCTGCGCCATGGTCCCCATACCCAAAAACCCCTTCGTCGCCACAAACGACCCCCGTTACATCTCGATTTACGACGTTTACTTAACTAAGGGCGAGTTTTGCCGCCGGTTCATGCCCCCGAATAAGAACCCGGGGGACGGGCCGAAGATTTGTTATCGGGGGTAAACCGGTGGATTACCCGGACGAATTGGGGGAGGATGTTTTGCCGCCCGTGAATGATATGTGTGTGGAGCAGATTGGGTTGAGTACCAAGAACGAAAAGAGTGTGGAGAATAGCTATTATGTGGCAATGACCCCGCACCCGGACCAATCGCGGCGCGCGTTCTTCCTCGAGCGGGCGGGCAGGTTGTTTCTTTATGACCTGCCCGAGCCGGGGTCGTCGGACTATCTGCCTTCTGACGGGGGTTCGACGTTTCTCGATATCAGCCACTTGTAAGTGAGACATGTGAGGGGGGGGGGGGGAGGGGGGGGGGGGGTGGGAGTTGTTGGGGGTGAGAGGGGGGAGTGTCTGGAAGGTGGAGTAAGGTCAGAATTTGATGAGGAGAATGAGGGTTGGGGGTGGTGGGGGGTGGGGGGGAGAGGGAGTAAGGAGGGGCATTGATGGGAGGGGGCATTGCGATGGGAATTTAGCGTTTTCTCGACATCAGCAGGCTCCCCACTGCCCCCATGCCTCGATTTTGCCGTCTTTTCGTCTCCTACACATTACCTCCCCCCACAAGCCCCCAGCCCCTCCCCACCCTCCTCTCTTTCCCTCCCCCCTCACTCCATTTTTAGGCGCCTCAAAAATAGATCACTCCCCACCCTCCTCTCTTTCCCTCCCCTTCACTCCACAAGGCCACTGTGTTCCCCTTCGCCCTTCCCCCCTCTCCCCACTCTCCACGTCCCTCTCCTTCCATCTGTCTCCCACAGGGTGGCTCACGGCACGGAGCAGGGGGCAGCGGGCGTCGCATCTCACTCCGACTATCCCTGCAATGGCTGCTTCTGATAATTCTTTCCCGTCTTTTGAGGCGCCTCAAAAGCTTTCCCGTCTCTTTTGCTCTCCCCCCTCACAGATGACTTTTGAGTCGACTCAAAAGTTGACTACCCCTGCAATGGCTGCTTCTGATCATTCTTTCCCGTCTCGTTTGCTCTCCCCCCTCACAGGGTGGCACAGGGCGTGGAGAAGGGCGCAGTGGGCATCGCATTTCACCCCCCCGACTACCCGCGCAACGGCCGCTTCTTCGTCTCTTTCACCAGCGCCTCCTCAGTCAACAGCGACTGCAAGCCCACCGTCTGCGGCTGCGATGCTGCCTGCAAGCCCAATATGTTCACAACACGTGGCCCCCCTCCCCCCCCCCCTCTGTCCCCGCTGCCCCCTCTGCCCCCCCTCTGCCATCCCTTTCCCTCCCCCTCTCCCCACTCACAGGGTGGCACAGGGCGCGGAGCAGGGGGCAGTGGGCATCGCCTTTCACCCCGACTACCCCCGCAACGGGCGCTTCTTCGTCTCTTTCACCTGCCACTCCTCAGTCACCAGCGACTGCAAGCCCACCGTCTGCGGCTGCGATTCTTCCTGCAAGCCCAATATGTTCACATCACGTCCCCCCCCCCGTCCCGCCTGCTCCCTCTGCCCCCCGTCCGCCATCCCTCCCCTCCCCCTCTCCCCCCTCACAGGGTGGCACAGGGCGTGGAGCAGGGGGCAGTGGGCATTGCATTTCACCCCGACTACCCCCGCAACGGCCGCTTCTTCGTCTCTTTCACCTGCGACTCTTCAGTCAACAGCGACTGCAAGGCCGCGGTGTGCGGCTGCTACAAGGACGTGGACTGCACCCCGGAGAAGGTCCAGGCGGCCAACCCGGATGGGAAGTGGGGGGCAGGAGATCTGTGCAGGAATGTGACTGTGGTGGCGGAGTTCTCTGCATGCAGCGACACGCTCTGCACGCCTGCGAAGATCTCTCAGGTGCGCTGGGCTGTCTGTGGTAAGCTGGTACCCCAATGGGAAGTGGGGGGCAGGAGATCTGTGCTGGAACGTGACTGTGGTGGCGGAGTTCTCTGCATGTAGCGACACCCTGTGTACTCCAGCTAAGATCTCTCAGGTGTGTTGGGCTGTCTGTGGTAGGCCCGAGGGAAGTGGGGCACAGGGGATCTGTGCTGGAATGTGACTGTGGTGGCGGTGTTTTCTGCGTGCAGTGACATGCTCTGCACCCCCACCAAGAGCATGTCACTGCATGCAGAAAACTCAGGTATGTCTCACCAAGATCTCCCAGGTGTGTATGGAGGGGGCGGGCACCAGGGACTGAGGCATAGTTGTCTGTGGTAGGGCCGATGGAAGCTCCATCACAGGTGGAAGCTCGGAGGTGGGAGGTCTGTGCAGGAACGTGACTGGTGTGGCGGAGTTCTCTGCCTGCAGCGAAGCTGATATAGGTCATGCTGGGGGATGGCGTCTGAAGCACCCTGCTCTTACCCCCCCCTTCCTCTCTTCCTTTCCTCCCTCCCTCTCTCCCTCACGCTCCAAACCCCCCGCCTCCTCCTCCCTCTCCCCACCCCACCAGCAGTAAAGCATCGAGGCCAAGATAGTGCGTCTGGGCCAGGCGTTCACCAACAACAACGGGGGGGCGGATCCGGTTCGGCACGTTCTACTGAGACTCCCCCTGACTCCCCCCTCTCCCCACCAGCAATCGAGCATCGAGCCCACAATAGTCCGGTACATAGTGCGGCTGGGCCAGCCGTTCATCAACAACAACGGGGGGCAGATCCGCTTTGGCGCGGACGGCATGCTGTATGTGATGCTGGGGGATGGCGGTGGCGAGTGGGACCCCCTGGGCCTCGCGCAGAACCCCAAGGCGTTCCAGGGGAAGGTGCTGCGGCTGGACGTTCTCAACGGAATCAGCGAACCAGGTGGGTTGCATACTGTATGTCATTCTGCGGGACGGCATGCTGTATGTGATGCTGGGGGGTGGCGGCGGCGAGTGGGACCCCCTGGGCCACGCGCAGAACCCCAAGGCGTTCCAGGGGAAAGTTCTGCAGCTGGACGTGCTCAAGGGGATCAGTGAATCAGGTGGGCTGCTTGAGTCTCGGCATGGACTGTCCTCATCGTGTCTAGCTGCCCCCCGCCTGGTGCTAGACCTGGCGCACCAGCAAGCACCCCAAGGTGCACAGCGTGCCCCCTGATAAGGATAACTCCTATGCACTTGAGTCGAAGTGGCGTGGGGAGGTGTTTGCGTTGGTGTTTCTTCCCGCCTAACCATCCGTACTTGCATCTCCTCTCTCCCTCTGAACCCCTCTGAACCCCTCTGAACCCCTCTGATTCCCTCTGCATCCCTCTCAGATGACAACGAGATTTCCAGCAGGGGTCTGCTAGGGGCGTACGGCATCCCCCCTGACAACCCCTATGCATTCGCGTGGGAATGGCGGGGGGAGGTGTTTGCGCTAGGCTTCCACGACCCCTGGAAGTGCACCTTTGACCTGCTCAGGCCGTCTGTCATGATGTGCGGGGATGTGGGATGGGTGAGTGGGATGTGGGATGGGTGAGTGGGATGTAGGATGGGTGAGTGAAATGAGGGATGGGTGAGTGGGATGTGGGATGAGTGAGTGGGATGAGGGATGGGTGAGTGGGATGAGGGATGGGTGAGTGGGATGTGGGATGGGTGAGTGGGATGTGGGATGGGTGAGTGGGATGAGGGATGGATGAGTGAAATGAGGGATGGGTGAGTGGGATGAGGGATGGGTGAGTGGGATGTGGGATGGGTGAGTGGGATGAGGGATGGGTGAGTGGGATGAGGGATGGGTGAGTGGGATGTGGGATGGGTGAGTGGGATGAGGGATGGGTGAGTGGATGAGGGATGGGTGAGTGGGATGTGGGATGGGTGAGTGGGATGTGGGATGGTGAGTGGGATGAGGGATGGGTGAGTGGGATGTGGGATGGGTGAGTGGGATGTGGGATGGGTGAGTGGGATGTGGGATGGGTGAGTGGGATGTGGGATGGGTGAGTGGGATGAGGGATGGGTGAGTGGGATGTGGGATGGGTGAGTGGGATGAGGGATGGGTGAGTGGGATGTGGGATGGGTGAGTGGGATGAGGGATGGGTGAGTGGGATGAGGGATGGGTGAGTGGGATGAGGGATGGGTGAGTGGGATGAGGGATGGGTGAGTGGGATGTGGGATGGGTGAGTGGGATGTGGGATGGGTGAGTGGGATGTGGGATGGGTGAGTGGGATGTGGGATGGGTGAGTGGGATGAGGGATGGGTGAGTGGGATGTGGGATGGGTGAGTGGATGTGGGATGGGTGAGTGGGATGTGGGATGGTGAGTGGGATGGGGATGGTGAGTGGGATGTGGGATGGGTGAGTGGGATGTGGGATGGGTGAGTGGGATGAGGGATGGGTGAGTGGGATGAGGGATGGGTGAGTGGGATGTGGGATGGGTGAGTGGGATGTGGGATGGGTGAGTGGGATGTGGGATGGGTGAGTGGGATGAGGGATGGGTGAGTGGGATGAGGGATGGGTGAGTGGGAGAGGGATGGTGATGGATGGTGGGATGGGTGAGTGGGATGTGGGATGGGTGAGTGGGATGTGGGATGGGTGAGTGGGATGTGGGATGGGTGAGTGGATGTGGGATGGGTGAGTGGGATGTGGGATGGGTGAGTGGGATGAGGGATGGGTGAGTGGGATGAGGGATGGGTGAGTGGGATGAGGGATGGGTGAGTGGGATGTGGGATGGGTGAGTGGGATGAGGGATGGGTGAGTGGGATGAGGGATGGGTGAGTGGGATGTGGGATGGGTGAGTGGGATGTGGGATGGGTGAGTGGGATGAGGGATGGTGTGAGTGGATGTGGGATGGGTGAGTGGGATGTGGGATGGGTGAGTGGGATGTGGGATCGGTGAGTGGGATGTGGGATGGGTGAGTGGGATGAGGGATGGGTGAGTGGGATGTGGGATGGGTGAGTGGGATGAGGGATGGGTGAGTGGGATGTGGGATGGGTGAGTGGGATGAGGGATGGGTGAGTGGGATGAGGGATGGGTGAGTGGGATGAGGGATGGGTGAGTGGGATGAGGGATGGGTGAGTGGGATGTGGGATGGGTGAGTGGGATGTGGGATGGGTGAGTGGGATGTGGGATGGGTGAGTGGGATGTGGGATGGGTGAGTGGGATGAGGGATGGGTGAGTGGGATGAGGGATGGGTGAGTGGGATGAGGGATGGGTGAGTGGGATGTGGATGGGTGAGTGGGATGAGGATGGGTGAGTGGGATGAGGGATGGGTGAGTGGGATGTGGGATGGGTGAGTGGGATGTGGGATGGGTGAGTGGGATGTGGGATGGGTGAGTGGGATGTGGGATGGGTGAGTGGATGAGGGATGGGTGAGTGGGATGAGGGATGGGTGAGTGGGATGTGGGATGGGTGAGTGAGATGTGGGATGGGTGAGTGGGATGTGGGATGGGTGAGTGGGATGTGGGATGGGTGAGTGGGATGTGGGATGGGTGAGTGGGATGTGGGATGGGTGAGTGGGATGAGGGATGGGTGAGTGGGATGTGGGATGGGTGAGTGGGATGAGGGATGGGTGAGTGGGATGTGGGATGGGTGAGTGGGATGAGGGATGGGTGAGTGGGATGAGGGATGGGTGAGTGGGATGTGGGATGGGTGAGTGGGATGAGGGATGGGTGAGTGGGATGTGGGATGGGTGAGTGGGATGAGGGATGGGTGAGTGGGATGAGGGATGGGTGAGTGGGATGTGGATGGGTGAGTGGGATGTGGGATGGGTGAGTGGGATGTGGGATGGGTGAGTGGGATGTGGGATGGGTGAGTGGGATGTGGGATGGGTGAGTGGGATGTGGGATGGGTGAGTGGGATGAGGGATGGGTGAGTGGGATGAGGGATGGGTGAGTGGGATGAGGGATGGGTGAGTGGGATTGGATGGGTGAGTGGGATGAGGGATGGGAGTGATGGGATGGGTGAGGATGTGGGATGGGTGAGTGGGATGTGGGATGGGTGAGTGGGATGAGGGATGGGTGAGTGGGATGTGGGATGGGTGAGTGGGATGAGGGATGGGTGAGTGGGATGTGGGATGGGTGAGTGGGATGTGGGATGGGTGAGTGGGATGTGGGATGGGTGAGTGGGATGTGGGATGGGTGAGTGGGATGTGGGATGGGTGAGTGGGATGTGGGATGGGTGAGTGGGATGTGGGATGGGTGAGTGGGATGAGGGATGGGTGAGTGGGATGTGGGATGGGTGAGTGGGATGAGGGAATGGGTGAGTGGGATGGGATGGGAATGGGTGAGTGGGAATGTGGGATGGGTGAGTGGGATGAGGGATGGGTGAGTGGGATGTGGGATGGGTGAGTGGGATGAGGGATGGGTGAGTGGGATGTGGGATGGGTGAGTGGGATGAGGGATGGGTGAGTGGGATGTGGGATGGGTGAGTGGGATGTGGGATGGGTGAGTGGGATGAGGGATGGGTGAGTGGGATGTGGGATGGGTGAGTGGGATGAGGGATGGGTGAGTGGGATGTGGGATGGGTGAGTGGGATGAGGGATGGGTGAGTGGGAATGTGGGATGGGGTGAAGTGGGATGAGGGATGGGTGAGTGGGATGGGGATGGGTGAGTGGGATGAGGGATGGGTGAGTGGGATGAGGGATGGGTGAGTGGGATGTGGATGGGTGAGTGGGATGAGGGATGGGTGAGTGGGATGAGGGATGGGTGAGTGGGATGAGGGATGGTGAGTGGATGAGGGATGGGTGAGTGGGATGTGGAATGGGTGAGTGGGATGTGGGATGGGTGAGTGGGATGTGGATGGGTGAGTGGGATGTGGGATGGGTGAGTGGGATGTGGAGGGTGAGTGGGATGAGGGATGGGTGGTGGGAGAGGGATGGGTGAGTGGGATGAGGGAGGGTGAGGGGTGTGGGATGGGTGAGTGGGATGAGGATGGGTGAGTGGGATGAGGGATGGGTGAGGGGATGTGGATGGGTGAGTGGGATGTGGGATGGGTGAGGGGATGGGGATGGGTGAGTGGGTGTGGGATGGGTGAGTGGGAGAGGGATGGGTGAGTGGGATGTGGGATGGGTGAGTGGGATGTGGGATGGGTGAGTGGGATGTGGGATGGTGAGTGGGATGTGGGATGGGTGAGTGGGATGTGGGATGGGTGAGTGGGATGTGGGATGGGTGAGTGGGATGTGGATGGGTGAGTGGGATGAGGGATGGGTGAGTGGGATGTGGGATGGGTGAGTGGGATGAGGGGATGGGTGAGTGGGATGGTGGGATGGGTGGGTGAGTGGGATGAGGGATGGGTGAGTGGGGATGAGGGGATGGGTGAGTGGGATGTGGGATGGGTGAGTGGGATGAGGGATGGGTGAGTGGGATGTGGGATGGGTGAGTGGGATGAGGGATGGGTGAGTGGGATGTGGGATGGGTGAGTGGGATGTGGGATGGGTGAGTGGGGATGTGGGATGGGTGAGTGGGATGTGGGGATGGGTGAGTGGGATGAGGGATGGGTGAGTGGGATGTGGGATGGGTGAGTGGGATGAGGGATGGGTGAGTGGGATGAAGGGATGGGTGAGTGGATGTGGGATGGGTGAGTGGGATGAGGGATGGGTGAGTGGGATGTGGGATGGGTGAGTGGGGATGAGGGATGGGTGAGTGGGATGTGGGATGGGTGAGTGGGATGAGGGATGGGTGAGTGGGATGAGGATGGGTGAGTGGGATGTGGGATGGTGAGTGGGATGAGTGATGGGTGGGGGGGGGGGGGGGTGGAGTGGGATGTGGGATGGGGTGAGTGGGATGTGGGATGGGTGAGTGGGATGTGGGATGGGTGAGTGGGATGTGGGATGGGTGAGTGGGATGTGGGATGGGTGAGTGGGATGAGGGATGGGTGAGTGGGATGAGGGATGGGTGAGTGGGATGTGGGATGGGTGAGTGGGATGTGGGATGGGGTGAAGTGGGATGTGGGATGGGTGAGTGGGATGAGGGATGGGTGAGTGGGATGAGGGAATGGGTGAGTGGGATGTGGGATGGGTGAGTGGGATGAGGAATGGGTGAGTGGATGTGGGATGGTGAGTGGGATGGGATGGTGAGTGGGATGTGGGGATGGGTGAGTGGGATGAGGGATGGGTGAGTGGGATGTGGGATGGGTGAGTGGGATGTGGGATGGGTGAGTGGGATGAGGGATGGGGTGAGTGGGATGTGGATGGGTGAGTGGGATGTGGGATGGGTGAGTGGGATGATGGGATGGGTGAGTGGGATGTGGGATGGGTGAGTGGGATGTGGGATGGGTGAGTGGGATGAGGGATGGGTGAGTGGGATGTGGGATGGGTGAGTGGGATGAGGGATGGGTGAGTGGGGATGATGGGATGGGGTGAGTGGGATGAGGGATGGGTGAGTGGGATGAGGGATGGGTGAGTGGGATGTGGGATGGGTGAGTGGGATGAGGGATGGGTGAGTGGGATGTGGGATGGGTGAGTGGGATGAGGGATGGGTGAGTGGGATGTGGGATGGGTGAGTGGGATGAGGGATGGGTGAGTGGGATGTGGGATGGGTGAGTGGGATGTGGGATGGGTGAGTGGATGGGGATGGGTGAGGTGGGATGTTGGGATGGGGTGGAGTGGGATGTGGGATGGGTGAGTGGGATGTGGGATGGGTGAGTGGGATGTGGGATGGGTGAGTGGGATGATGGGATATGGGTGTGAGTGGGATGAGGGATGGGTGATGGGATGTGGGATGGGGTGAGTGGGATGTGGGATGGGTGAGTGGGATGAGGGATGGGTGAGTGGGATGTGGGATGGGTGAGTGGGATGAGGGATGGGTGAGTGGGATGAAGGGATGGGTGAGTGGGATGGTGGGATGGGTGGAGTGGGATGAGGGATGGGTGAGTGGGATGTGGGATGGGTGAGTGGGATGAGGGATGGGTTGAGTGGGATGTGGGATGGGTGAGTGGGATGAGGGATGGGTGAGTGGGATGTGGGATGGGTGAGTGGGATGTGGGATGGGTGAGTGGGATGAGGGATGGGTGAGTGGGATGTGGGAATGGGTGAGTGGGATGTGGGATGGGTGAGTGGGATGTGGGATGGGTGAGTGGGATGTGGGATGGGTGAGTGGGATGTGGGATGGGTGAGTGGGATGAGGATGGTGAGGGGATGGGGAGGGTGAGTGGGATGAGGGATGGTGAGTGGGATGTGGGATGGGTGAGTGGGATGTGGGATGGGTGAGTTGGGATGGGGATGGGTGGGATGGGTGAGTGGGATGTGGGATGGGTGAGTGGGATGAGGGATGGGTGAGTGGGATGGGATGGGGAGTGGGATGGGGATGGGTGAGTGGGATGAGGGATGGGTGAGTGGGATGTGGGATGGGTGAGTGGGATGAGGGATGGGTGAGTGGGGATGTGGGATGGGTGAGTGGGATGAGGGATGGGTGAGTGGGATGTGGGATGGGTGAGTGGGGGGATGGTGGGGGATGTGGGGTGAGTGGGATGTGGGATGGGGTGAGTGGGGATGAGGGATGGGTGAGTGGGATGTGGGATGGGTGAGTGGGATGTGGGATGGGTGAGTGGGATGTGGGATGGGTGAGTGGGATGTGGGATGGGTGAGTGGGATGTGGGATGGGTGAGTGGGATGAGGGATGGGTGAGTGGGATGAGGGATGGGTGAGTGGGATGAGGGATGGGTGAGTGGGATGAGGGATGGGTGAGTGGGATGAGGGATGGGTGAGTGGGATGTGGGATGGGTGAGTGGGATGTGGGATGGGTGAGTGGGATGAGGGATGGGTGAGTGGGATGTGGGATGGGTGAGTGGGATGAGGGATGGGTGAGTGGGATGAGGGATGGGTGAGTGGGATGAGGGATGGGTGAGTGGGATGAGGGATGGGTGAGTGGGATGTGGGATGGGTGAGTGGGATGAGGGATGGGTGAGTGGGATGTGGGATGGGTGAGTGGGATGAGGGATGGGTGAGTGGTGGATGGTGGGATGGGTAGTGGGATGAGGGATGGGTGAGTGGGATGTGGGATGGGTGAGTGGGATGTGGGATGGGTGAGTGGGATGTGGGATGGGTGAGTGGGATGTGGGATGGGTGAGTGGGATGTGGGATGGGTGAGTGGGATGTGGGATGGGTGAGTGGGATGTGGGATGGGTGAGTGGGATGTGGGATGGGTGAGTGGGATGTGGGATGGGTGAGTGGGATGAGGGATGGGTGAGTGGGATGAGGGATGGGTGAGTGGGATGTGGGAGGGTGAGTGGGATGGGGATGGGTGAGTGGGATGAGGGATGGGTGAGTGGGATGGGATGGGTGAGTGGGATGGGGAGGGTGGGGGTGAGGGATGGGTGAGTGGGATGTGGGATGGGTGAGTGGGATGAGGGGATGGGGTGAGTGGGATGTGGGATGGGTGAGTGGATGAGGGATGGGTGAGTGGGATGTGGGATGGGTGAGTGGGGATGAGGGATGGGTGAGTGGGATGTGGGATGGGTGAGTGGGATGAGGGATGGGTGAGTGGGATGTGGGATGGGTGAGTGGGATGTGGGATGGGTGAGTGGGATGAGGGATGGGTGAGTGGGATGTGGGATGGGTGAGTGGGATGTGGGATGGGTGAGTGGGATGTGGGATGGGTGAGTGGGATGTGGGATGGGTGAGTGGGATGTGGGATGGGTGAGTGGGATGAGGGATGGGTGAGTGGGATGAGGGATGGGTGAGTGGGATGTGGATGGGTGAGTGGGATGGGATGGGTGAGTGGGATGTGGGATGGGTGAGTGGGATGTGGGATGGGTGAGTGGGATGAGGGATGGGTGAGTGGGATGTGGGATGGGTGAGTGGGATGGGGATGGGTGAGTGGGATGTGGGATGGGTGAGTGGGATGTGGGATGGGTGAGTGGGATGAGGGATGGGTGAGTGGGTGTGGGATGGGTGAGTTGGGATGAGGGATGGGTGAGTGGGATGTGGGATGGGTGAGTGGGATGAGGGATGGGTGAGTGGGATGTGGGATGGGTGAGTGGGATGTGGATGGGTGAGTGGGATGTGGGATGGGTGAGTGGGATGTGGGATGGGTGAAGTGGGATGGGGATGGGTGAGTGGGATGTGGGATGGGGTGAGTGGGATGTGGGTGGGGAGTGGGATGTGGGATGGGTGAGGGATGGGATGGGTGAGTGGGATGTGGGATGGGTGAGTGGGATGAGGGATGGGTGAGTGGGATGTGGGATGGGTGAGTGGGATGAGGGATGGGTGAGTGGGATGTGGGATGGGTGAGTGGGATGTGGGATGGGTGAGTGGGATGAGGGATGGGTGAGTGGGATGGGATGGGGAGTGGTGAAGTGGGATTGAGGGATGGGTGAGTGATGGGATGGGTGGTGGGATGTGGGATGGGTGAGTGGGATGAGGGATGGGTGAGTGGGATGTGGGATGGGTGAGTGGGATGAGGGATGGGTGAGTGGGATGTGGATGGGTGAGTGGGATGGGGATGGGTGAGTGGGATGGGGGGGGTGAGTGGGATGTGGGATGGGTGAGTGGGATGAGGGATGGGTGAGTGGGAATGTGGGATGGGTGAGTGGGATGAGGGATGGGTGAGTGGGGATGAGGATGGGTGAGTGGGATGTGGGATGGGTGAGTGGGATGAGGGATGGGTGAGTGGGATGTGGGATGGGTGAGTGGGGAATGAGGGATGGGTGAGTGGGATGTGGGATGGGTGAGTGGGATGAGGGATGGTGAGTGGGATGTGGGATGGGTGGGGGATGGGGTGGGTGAGTGGGAGGGGATGGGGAGTGGGAGTGGGATGGTGAGTGGGATGTGGGATGGGTGAGTGGGATGTAGGGATGGGTGAGTGGGATGTGGGATGGGTGAGTGGGATGTGGGATGGTGAGTGGATGGGGGGTGAGTGGGATGTGGGATGGGTGAGTGGGATGTGGGATGGGTGAGTGGGATGGGGATGGGTGAGTGGGATGTGGGATGGGTGAGTGGGGAATGATGGGATGGGTGAGTGGGATGTGGATGGGTGAGTGGGATGAGGGATGGGTGAGTGGGATGGGGATGGGTGAGTGGGATGTGGGATGGGTGAGTGGGATGAGGGATGGGTGAGTGGGATGGTGGGGATGGGTGAGTGGGATGAGGGATGGGTGAGTGGGATGTGGGATGGGTGAGTGGGATGGGAGGGATGGGTGGGTGGGTGGGGAGGGTGAGTGGGAATGAGGGATGGTGAGTGGGATGTGGGATGGGTGAGTGGGATGAGGGGATGGGTGAGTGGGATGTGGGATGGGTGAGTGGGATGAGGGATGGGTGAGTGGGATGTGGGATGGGTGAGTGGGATGTGGGATGGGGTGAGTGGGATGAGGGATGGGTGAGTGGGATGTGGGATGGGTGAGTGGGATGTGGGATGGGTGAGTGGGATGTGGGATGGTGAGTGGGATGGGGATGGGTGAGTGGGATGTGGGATGGGTGAGTGGGATGTGGGATGGGTGAGTGGGATAGGGATGGGTGAGTGGGATGTGGGATGGGTGAGTGGGATGTGGGATGGGTGAGTGGGATGTGGGATGGGTGAGTGGGATGAGGGATGGGTGAGTGGGATGAGGGATGGGTGAGTGGGATGTGGGATGGGTGAGTGGGATGAGGGATGGGTGAGTGGGATGTGGGATGGGTGAGTGGGATGTGGGATGGGTGAGTGGGATGGGATGGGTATGGGATGTGGGTGGGTGGGGGGGGGGGGGGTGGTGGGAGGGGATGGGTGAGTGGGATGGGGATGGGTGAGGGTGGGGATGGGGGTGGGATGGGGGGTGAGTGGGATGAGGGAGGGGAGTGGGATGTGGGATGGGTGAGTGGGATGGGGATGGGTGAGTGGGATGAGGGATGGGTGAGTGGGATGAGGGATGGGTGAGTGGGATGTGGGATGGGTGAGTGGGATGTGGGATGGGTGAGTGGGATGAGGGATGGGTGAGTGGGATGTGGGATGGGTGAGTGGGATGTGGGATGGGTGAGTGGGATGTGGGATGGGTGAGTGGGATGTGGGATGGGTGAGTGCAACTTCTGAGCTCATGGCAATCCACCCCCTCCCCATGCTACGCAGTTCCTCCCTGCCTCCCTGTTCCACTCGGCCTCTTATCCTGTCCTCAGACCAAGTGGGAGTAGGATTGAGGGTCGAATGTGAAAAGCCAATTAATGACAAGTTCTTTTACCTGCACGCCCCTATAACCCCTCCCCTCTTATCCTGTCCACAGACCAAGTGGGAGGAGGTCGACGTGGTAACCAGTGGCGGTAACTACGGGTGGAAGTGGTTTGAGGGGCGGGAGTACGCCAATGCCAGCGAGCAACGGCCCGTGACTAACTACATGCAGCCGTCGTTCCAATACGTGTGGAGAAACACCACCAGCGTGGTTGGGGGGTTCTACGAACGAGGATATGAGGATGCATGCTTATATGGCAGGTGAGAGTATGAGTCCGAGTGCTTATATGGCAGGTGAGAGTATGAGGTGCATGCTGAATTGGAAACTTAGGTTGTTAGGTGCTTAACTACAAGCTGCCGTCTTTCCAATACATGTGGGGCACACATTTATATGGCTGGTGGTGGGAATTCGACCCTGCCATTTTGAAATCCGCAATTGCACCAGTCAGTCACCAATCAATCAAATCTCTAGTCTTTCTTGTTTTCGCTTCTCGAATCCCATTCCTCTAGTCAATCCTCTCTCCTCAACCCTCAATCATCAATCTCCAACCTTTCTCTCTCCGCTGACCCCTACCAGATACATATTCAGCGACAGCAACAACCAGTTTTACGTTGCTACAGAAAATCCCCCTTATAGTGGCGCCTTCCCTCTCGGATCACAACCCCTCAATGTCTCCTGCTCGCCTAGCTCGCCCATCCAATGCCCCACCCAAGGCCTCTACCGCCCTAATTTTGGCTCGGTATCGGCCTGGGGGCAGGATATTAACGGCACGCTTTACACCCTGACCCAGCTGGGTGTTTTCCGTCTTACCCAGCCCTCCAACTGCAACTTCACGTGCAGACAAGAGTTCCCGCCCGGACCCGATCCTCGAGTAGATCCTGCGTCAGATCTGACTGTTCTGACCACGTTTGGTGCGGATACCACCCCGCCTCCCCCAGCCGGAGGGGCAGGTTCGGGAGGAGCAGGCTCGGGAACCATGCCTCCTACCACAGGCGGCAGCAGCAGCGGTGACACCAGCAGCGGTGACACCAGCAGCAGTAGCAGCAGCAGTAGCAGTAGCAGCAGCAGCAGCAGTAGTAGCACAACATCAGCCCACAACACGTCCTACTGGTTGAAACTGGGTGGGATAGTCCTTGGGATCCTCCTTTTTGTGATTGCGATCTGCTGCTTCTGCCTCATTCGAGGGTACCGCGAGGGCAAGAAGAAGGACGACGCGTTCCTGGAGTTTCAGATGGCTGATATGCAGCAGCCGCTGCAAGGGGAGGGGGATGAAGACATGTACTATGATGAGGAGGGGAATTACATCGGGCCTGATGGGGAGGAGGATGAGGTGTACGACCCCGATGCAATGGGTGCAGATGACGACGGTACTGGGACATACTATAACGAGGGGGACGAGCATGGGCATGGGGATGGGGATGGGGGAACGGTGATGGACGATGGGGCGACGGAGTATGGGCAGAGGAGTGTGCACAGTGGGTATGATGGAGGGGGTGGGTATGCAGAGAGTGAGTTGGGGTCAGAGTACACTGGGGCTGGGCATGGTGGGGTTTACCAGGGAGGGGGGGTGAGGGGGGATGGGATGTCGGATGTTCAATCGGAGTACACTGCGCAAGACGATTGGACGGATGGAGGCTCGTATTATGGGCGCCGCTGAGTGTATTATGGGTGAGGTGCACCGTTGAATTGAGTGGTGGGGTGGGGATGATTGGAAAGATGGGATTCAGTATGGTGTTGGTGAATCGTGTTGGAGGGCTGGGTTGGGTTGGGTTGGGTTGGGGTGGGTGCTAGCTCTGTAACCCTGGAGGGTGTCGATCGATTATTGGGTATGGATGGTAACGCCACCGCACCACCTGTTCAAAAACTAGGACCGCCCACTTCCTAAGGAAAGTGTGCTTTGTTTGTTGCCCCCTACTTTACCTATCGTACTTAACATTTTACTATACGTGTTTCCAGTTAATGTCTCGCATGTACACCACTGAACGTCCGCGATAACAACGATTACCGCGCTCGAGGAGAATTACGATTTCAAAACCGAGTCCCCAGCTTTCCACCGTCCTTACACACTAGTTGCCAAGGCTCGGCGTCTTAGAAAAGTCTCGAAAATCTCAAGCGACGGAGTCTGTGAGATCCTGCTGCGCTTAGAGTTAACTTTCCGATCACCTCATGCTCGTTGTTGGTTGCCGCTTTTAGGTCGATCATCGAGCCGATATCATCATACGCGCTTCCTTGAGCGCTCACTGGAAGAATGTCCGACGATCTGCGACTCCGCGCACTCTAGCCGACACCATCGTACGCGTTAGGGTTTCAGGGGGAGCGGAAAAGCGGAGGGTTACAAAGCTGAGGCGCATTGGCTGGCGGAAGCAAGTAAGATGCTTCGCTAATCCCGAGCTGCGAGGCGAAAGGGGAGGGTTACACTGCTGGGTAGTAACGGTGGAGGAGAGGGGTCCGCTGGGTAATAACGCGTATAGCGTCGCCTTTCCCTTATCGCGTTTCCCTTATCGTGCGCTCAGCCCGCCGCTGATGGCGCTCCGTCAGCCGTTAGGAGCCTCCTCCGGCGACCTAATGCGCGAGGACGCGCTAACGTGCTCCGAGCACATCCGGCTAGTAACGCGTATAGCCGCCGTGTACGGCGCGTTCGCCGCGCTTCCGCTGTGCGGGATGCACTACGGCCCGCGCGTCACGCGGCCGCGCCTGATGCGGTGGAGCCTGGCGGGTGCGGCGGTGGCTTCGGGATGCGCGCTCGTGCAAGCGGTGCTGTGGGAACCCGCCTGCGAGCCGCAGAACGTAGCAGCGTACGATAGGCGATAGCAGCAAGCATCATCATGGTCCAGCGCACTATGCGGCCAAGGCTCAGCGGCGGGTGCCGCGGTGGCTGCAGGGAGTGCGCTTGTGCAAGCGGTGCTGGGAACCGCGTGCGAGGGCAGAACGTAGCAGCATATGATAGCCGATAGTCGACAGCAGCACTATGGCCCCCCGCACTACGCGGGGAAGACTGGCGCGGTGGCTGTGGGGAGTGCATCGGTGTGTGCAATCGGTGCTGTGGGAACCCGCCTGCGAGCCACAGAACGTATCAGCTTATGAGAGCCGCTAGCAGCGCTAAGCATCAAGTGGTAGTGAGGGTTTATAGGTAGGTCTCTGTCTCTTACCGTATCTGCTTGCAGTGACGCCAACAGCAGTCATGCGGGCTTAGTTTGTTCCTTCTTATGGCTGCCAGTTTTGTCCGTTGATTCCTCGTGTCAATATGAACGCAGTATATACATTTCTATTACCGGTAATAATGAGCCAACCTTACAGAAACATCCTCATCGTGGGCTCAACATTAGGCCCCTCATCCCCCATCGCCACCTGTTGCTTTGCTTCCTTCACCTCCCCCTTACACGACCCACACAGCTCCCATTCTACGCAGCTCTCCTCCATCTTCACCCTCTTCCCACTCAATCCCTTGTCCTCCTCAGCTTCCCTCTCCCTATTCCTCTTTCCCGCCCCCATCCCATGCCCCCTCTCCCCCCTCTCCCCCCGCTCCCCCCTCTCCCCCCGCTCCCCCCTCTCCTGCCTGGCGAGCTGCAGCTTGAGCCGTTTGTTTTCGTCCGCCAGCTGCTGGCAGCGCCTCCTCAGCCCCTCCAGCTGCGCCTCTGTCTGCTTCACCTTGGTGCGCGCGCGCCGGTTCTGAAACCACACCTCCACCTGCCGCACCCGCACGCCGAGCCTCGCCGCCAGGCTCGTCTTCTGCCGAGCCGTCAGCTTCGGGTGCTCCTGGAAAACCTGTTCCAGTATGGAGAACTGATCTTGTGTGAGCCGCATTTTCTTCTGGTTGCCGTTTACAGTTGTGTTACCGCCGCTACCGCCGCCACTGCCACCTTCAGATGCTTCTTCCTCCTCCCCGTCTCCCTCCCCGTCTCCCTCCCCGTCTCCCTCCCCGTCTCCCTCCCCGTCTCCCTCCGCTTCCCTCTCGCCGTCCCTTTCTTCACCTCCGCCCTCTCCCACCTCACCCATACCCTCCGCCGCGTCCACGTCAGCATGATGGTATCTCCACCTATTAACACCAGCACCAGCACCAGGAGCAGCGGCAACAGCAGCAGCAGCACCAGCAGCTAAACCAGCAGCATCCGCGCAAGTACTACCCTCCGCCCTCGCGCCCAAGAGTTCCGCCACTCTCCTCGCCATCCCCACGAGTCCCGCTCCCCCCGCGCCAATATCCGCGGAGGCACTGTGCGCCATAGCAGCGGCTGCGCTACTGGCGCTAGCTCCCCCCAGTCCGCCGCTTCCGCCCTGCAAGGACGTGAAGACTCCCCCCGCGGCGCTCCGCGTGCTTAGGTCGCGCAGAAAGGCGCGGGGAGGCGTGGCGGAAACAGCTTCCGCGGCGGTGGTGTACTCCGCGGCGGGGACTAGAGCAGGGCCGCGGAGAAGGCCTGCGGAGAACGGCGAAGGGGAAGGGTCACTACCAGCGGCGGCGGGATTTGCGGCGGCTGGGGCGCTCCAGAGGCGAGCCAATAGGGAGACAGCATCTAGCCTGCTCGAACCGCCTAGCAGGTTTGATACGACTTGGGAATTGAGCAGCGGACTTGGTGAGGCGGATAGAGCTGCCGCGAGAGCCGGCGCCATGGTCGCGGGAGCCGCCGCGGGAGCCGCCTGCGAAGCCATATGCGCGGCGGCTGACGTCAGGATATCGTCTTGACCGCGAAGATTTGATCCCTGAAGATTTGATAGGGTTGGGAGCGGCGCGGCGAGCTGGTTCTGCAGCTGCTGCTTGTGCTGCTGCACCTGAAGGAGCTTCTGGTGGTGCTGCTGCAGCAGCCGCAGCAGCTGCTGCTTCTGCTCCTCGTTTAACAGCACCGGCGGCGGCGGCGGCGGCGGCTGCTGCTGCTTCTGGTCCTCAGTCAGAACTACCGGCGGCAGCGTCGATTGAGGGCTTGTGTCGAATGAGGGTTTCTCCTCAGGTGAACACTGTACAGGCGTCGGCAGCGACGGCAGCGACGGCGGCGGCAAAGAGAGTGGCGCGGGAATGGGGTCAGTTAGCGACCGGCCATGGCTGGACCCCGCCGGGTCGCTCTGACCGCGGAAAAGATTCGGCAAACGATTATACGGGGAGTACATTTCTTCGGTTTTTACGGGTGCAGCGATTGCGGGCCTCTCGCCGTGAGTTGCGGCCTTAAAATCCCCGTCAGCGTTGCCAAAGCTCAGGCTGAGGGAGAGGCCGAGGTTCCCGCCGCATTTCTCGGCGGTCCGAACGTATGATTCTCTCGTGTCGGTCTGACGTGGCGAAATCTCCCACGTTGTCGGCGGCGGCTCATTCAGACAGAACGCCTGGAAGGAGAAAAACGAGAGAGGGTAAAGAGACAGATAGGAGTGAAGAGGAGTAGCTCAATCTCAGATAATGTCTCGCAGATTGTGCCGTAAACGAGTAACTCTATAGGACGGGACAAGCAGGTGCGTTTGGTTGCGTCAGGACTGGTTTTGAAAGGAGATTAGGATGGCCTGAGGTGAACTTACCATCGCAACAGCTGGACTAGCAAGGTCGCCGAACGAAGTTAGTTTTAGTATTCGTAGTTCAACGGAAGCAGGAAAGGGCGGACAGCAACTTGAGCATCTGAGTCAGTCGCTAACAGAAGCCCCCAAGAACTACTACGCTAACAGGAAGTAAAAGGAAACGGGAGAAACTAAGTGCGAAGTTGTGAAAACAGCAACAAAACTGAGCCACAGCAGCACTGGTCTAGGGGGAAACGCTGGTGTGGGAGAAGAAAATGGTAAGGCAAGTCCGACTTCTGTACGAGTCGTCGCGGCGTTGGATTGGCTCCCCTTCTCCCTTCACTCCACTTCTGTACAAAACCCGTTACAGCGCAGCGCAGTACTGTACAGCACCGTGCTCTCTTTTGTGCCGGAAAGTGAATGTACCACGGGCGAGAGGGGTGATGTGGTGTGGTTCGGTGTGGTGTGGTCTAGTGTATGACCTGGGCTGGCCGGGTGGAGAGGTCCAAACCAAACCAAACCACTCAAGGAAGGAAAAGGCACTGAAGATGATGATTGGTTGGAAGGAAGCACACTGGGAGGGAATGCAGCCGCCGCAATTGCCTCGCCACTCCCCACGCTGAACTCGCGATTGAGCATCCACTCGCGTTGCGTGATTTTAGGGGAAACAAGAGGCGGTGGAGATCGGTGAAAAGGTCCACCTGCTCGTTTCTGTTTTGCTGGGGATTGGCTCGCCAACGCATAGTGCGTCGGCTACTACAGTACAGACAAAAAATGCTTTTACTTCACTGTCCAACAGGTCATGACAGGCTGGTTTGGCAAAATCAATGTGGGGCAAGCACTTTCACAACAAATGGACAGAGATCCAAAATGTTCCTGCGATGGAGGTCTATTTCTCATAGGGTGTCCAAAGTGAATTTCTACATCCCACGACATCCGTTGGGGAATGTCGAGGGATGTCAACCATCAATTCCTTCCAATCAATACGGGTAACAAGCGTCCATGGAGAAATTTCACTGCACCGATTACCTGGTTAGGATGTCAGGTTTATGGAAAGGCTGTTGGTCCTCAATAGCGGAACCGATCCCAAAATTTCCCAGACTTGGCTACAAGCACTCCCTAATACAGTACGAAAGACTGCATCACGAAAGACTGCATCTCTTCCAGCTTTCAAGTAGCTGGTCGGGACAAGAAGCAGACTGGCAAATGTTTTCATGGACTGTAGTACAAAAAACCACCGTCAAATGATTGACCCTCCGATTGGCAATCAGCAGCTGGCATGTCAACGCTGATTGTTGTGTCGATTGAAAGTGGAAAGATTGGTTTGATTTGATGTCAGCAGAAGGCCCAATGCAGGCTGGGGCGGGCTGACAGAACCACAAGCCACAGTTGTTGGGATCGAATGCTGACAGCTGTGGCTGGTTGCTGCTTTCACACGGAAGGTCTTGAATAACTGCTTGCACGAACCGACATGGAAAGGGGAGAGGCTAGAATCCGACATCTTTGCGAGCGTCATCCATGACGACACAAATGTTAAGAATTTATGACGTATCTTCGACGAGCCCGGCTACATTCTCACAACCAATGGGAACTGCTGAGAGGGCAGCTGTCAGGCCAGCTGGAACTGACTAGTGATTGGATGTGGGATGTGTGACAAATGCAGTGGGCGGAGTCTGTGGATGAGCAGTGTTCGAGTTCACGATTCGGACGTTTCAAAATGAACAATGGTCCATCCGTAAACACACCCTGCTTAAGCATTCAACACTGTGTAACATTCGACATGAGGTATAAACACTGTCAAGCATGTTTATCTTTGCTCTGACATCCAGCTTATAGCGTAGAAGCAAATCTCAATTAATGAAGATTTAAGCAAAGATTAAAACCAGGGTTTGGTATATGTGTTAGTTACTCGGCGGATATTTGTGAAATTTTGAGTGACCCACGAACTCAGTTGCTGAGAGTTCATAAATCACGTCCAGGTTCCACGTTAAATTGCAAAACTTTGGACTATCTCTCGAGAGGATTTTTAGGAGAGGAATTCAACCAACTGCTCTCAACCAACTGATATTTACAAGAACTGAATCAGTGTCATCGGAGCTTCTTTAGCAGCCATCTCCCTCTCTTCCAATCCCATGTTCGCAAGACAAGAGCTGCACTTCGGCTTCCTTGGTTCAGAATTTGCCTTGATACCCTTTGCGCTAACCTCCCCAATACCTGTGCTCCTGGAAATTCCCACCTCCATCGCCCTTCTTTTCCCCTCCCTTTCCTCCCTCTCCCCCCGCTCCCCCCTCTCCTGCCTGGCCAGCTGCAGCTTGAGCCGTTTGTTTTCGTCCGCCAGCTGCTGGCAGCGCCTCCTCAGCCCCTCCAGCTCCGCCTCCGTCTGCTTCACCTTGGTGCGCGCGCGCCGGTTCTGAAACCACACCTCCACCTGCCGCACCCTCACGCCCAAACTCTTGGCCAAGCCCGCCTTTTGCCGTGGGGTCAAATGCGGATGCTTCTTGAAAAACTCCTCCAGCATTGTCAGCTGCGCTCTGGTCAGCCGCATTTTCTTCTTGTTGCCGTTCATCTCAGCGTCTCCGTCCCCCTCCCCCTCCTCACCCTCACCCTCATTATTATCCCACTCGCCTGGACCCTCTAGAAAGGGCCCCCCGCTCTCCTTGCCGTCTCCATCCTCCGAACTTCCACTTAGCCGAAAATCGCCCGCTCCTTCCGGACTTCGAATTCCAAGCTTGAGCGCCTCGGGGGAATCAAGCGAAGCCCCAAAAGTCCCCCCAGCGCCTCCCGCGGCGGGAAATGCCGCACCAGACCCCTTCCCATCCTCTCCGCCATTCGTTTCCCAGAATCTCCGCTTCAGCGGCGCCCGATCTCGTTCCTTCTCCCCCCCGTGAAGTCCCCCATTGGGAAAGCTCGCCCCGCAAATTGCTCCCCCAAACACGCCGTTTCCCGCACCTGCCCGCACCTGTGGGCTACCTGACGCGGCGGCGGCAACGGCAGCGGCCGCAATGTTCAAATCGCGGAGGGTGGCGGCGCGCGGAGAGTCATGCGGACTACGCGCAGCGGCGGAAGTGGCCGGCGAGCCACTGACCGACGGCGGAGGATAGATAGACGTGAGCGACGGCGGCGCAACCGACGAGAAAGGCGGCGCGACCGGCGCGGCTGACGACGGGAAGAAATTCGCCATGTTCCGCTCCACGGCGTTGACTTGCGCCGCGAGGCCAGCGCCGCGGGAGCCGCCGGCGGCAGAACCGGCGACGAGACGCGCGAGATGAAGCAACGCAGCGGCGTTGGCGTCAGCCAGAGGGGACGCTGGGCTCTTTGAAACGATCGCCGCAACGGCGGCATTGGAGTCGGCGCCGGATGCCGCCGCCGCGCCCTGCGGCGGCGCAGCCTGCGCGGCGGAGCGGAAGTCGGCGTTCGTCACAGCTGTAGCAGAGGCGGAGGCGTAGGTTGAGGCGAGCCGCTGCAGCAGCGACGACAACAACGCGGCGTTCGGAGCCGCCGCCGGGGATGCAGGGCCGAACTGCTGCTTCTGCTGCTGCGGCGGCGGCGGCGGCGGCGGATGAAGAAGATTCTCTGCTGCTGCTGGCTCGTTTAGCTGCTGCTGCAGCAGCCGTTGCTGCAGTAGCATCTGGAGCTGCTGCTGCATTTGCTGGTTCTGGGAGGACGAACTTGAAGGGGGTTGAGTCCGAGTCGGCGCTCGCCGGAGATCGTTCTCTAGTTGAAGATGGCTGCTGCTTCTCAGCGAAAGGCTCTCCGAGAGCTGCGGGTCGCTGCACTCCGTGACGTCGCTGCACGCGCGAGCCTGTTCCGCAGCGTCCTTGCTACCACTCGAAACTCCGTGGCTCGCTCTTAGAGCTCTCAGAGCAAGGTTTAGGACCAAACCGTCGTGAGCGCTTGTGCTGGCGTGATTGGCAGCAACTGACATCATGTCAAAGGCGGAGGTGCTCGGGGCACTCGGAGAGGAACTTTGCAGACACAATCGGTGTTCTCAGGTTCTACTCGGGAATTCTGAAACCAGCATTGGGCTGAGGAGTGAGGAGGATTTCGAGCATGGAATATGCTTTTCAATGGACTTCGAGCGACCCGATTCCCTCTTTGTAGCGAACGGAGTGGGAGCTGAAGCGGACACCTCCGTGTGATTATGAGAAACATTTTCAAGGGCCCATTCAAGTATTCCGACTTAGGGTCAGATGTTTCTGGGCTGTTGTGGTGGTGGTTTTTGTCGCCAGCTACTGAGAGCAAGCAATCGACATTGCGTAGGGAGGCGACTCGTACGTGGCAGTGCGACTTGCGCGAACCGGGCTTGCCCGGAGTCTCATTTTGGAGCAAGATACAGCGTGGCAATCTGCTGATTGGTGACAAATCCCTCGTGATAGCTCGGCAAAATGTGTGTACAAGTCAGCAACAACGCGACAAAGATTCCCAGTGGCCCATTTGATGTGCAAGATGCATGAAGATTGGTCACTTACGTCCAGTGAACACGGAAAAGGGCGGCAACTGCTTACTTCGAAGGTGGATGGATGCTTCTGATGGCGGTTAGAAATCAACAGCACGCTAGAAACGGGGTTAACGAATTGCCTATCCACCGTCCAGAATCTCCTCATCCGAAGTGGCCTTGGACCAAACTGACAACAAACTACGGCAACATTCCAGAATGGTGCCAAGGCCAGTGGCAGAAGGAACAAGAGTGCTGCTGCTTGTCGAGGATGATTGCGTCATGGATAACGTCATTGGGAGACATGCATTTAATGCCAATGGTTCTCGGAAGTGTTTGAAATGCCAGGGCTAATTGTCGAGTTTATCGAGGATGGGTGGGGCTATGGCGAAACTTTCCCCCGGCTTCACAAACGAAACTTCTAGGGCATATTATTGTAGTAAGGCAACAAGCAAAAAAAAAAAAAAAAAAAAAAAACATTAACTGATAATCGGTAGGAGAGGAACAATGATAGTGTTATGAAATAGGAAGTGTCAATGTACTATAACGTGAGAATACAAGGTCGCTATTGCAATGAAGGCATGAGGTTATATAGGGGTTGGCGTACTAGGGCGATAACCTTGGAACGTGGGTAGGTTCGGCAATGTGGCGACAGTTCCGGGCGCGACTCGGAAAGGGTTGGGCCGATAATTGAGGCTGAACGTGACGAGTCGAGAAGTTCGGGTGTACGCGCTAGCGTACGATTCATTAAGGAATGGAAATTCCATACACTAACCCCCCCCCCCCCCCCCCCCCCCCCTCCCTCCTAGACGAGACCGCGGGCATCGGAAACATTCCGACGCTGATAATACTCTGTTAGACTCAGAAGTGATTCTAGCTCAGCGAGCGGCACCCAGCTGTCGTCTTCGGACGTGCGATCGCGCCAGCGGACGAGAAAATCAACCATCCGACGGTTCAGCTGTGTCGTGACTTTTCAAGGGCTCGGTCGTTGGTTCCTGCGGGGGCGTCAGCTGCGGTATTCCGCGTTGGCATGCCAATTCAAATGAAGTGGAAACGTAGGGTCGTAAAAGGCTGACGTGGAAAGCCGGGTGGTGACGCCAGGCAGCTGGGAGTCGGAGGTGAGTCGTGACAGGTGTCACCATATTCGTCACTTGAAAGGGTCCGCAGAATTTGGGGCGGAGTTTGCTCGGGATCGGCAGCCGCAAATTGCGAGTGTCGAGGAGGACGAGATCTCCCCCTTTGTAAGTGATGTCACGTCGATGGCGATCGGCGTGTCGGCTTGCGACCAGGTTGGCTTTCCTGATGGTACCAGCTGCTTTTTCTCGGGCGGCGAGAATGTCTTCAACAAATTTCAGGGACCGGGGCACGGGTGTCTCGATGTTCGGGATAGCGGGTACCACTGAGTCCTCTCCGTAATTTAGGGAAAACGGGAACTGATGCGTTGTCGCGGAGGGCGCGTTGTTATACGCGAATTCCAGCAGCGGAAGGGATTTCTCAAATGTCTGTGGGTCAGTACAGGTAGTCCGAATGAGTTGCTCCATGGTTTGGTTGACTCGTTCAGTCTGTCCGTTGGTCTGTGGGTGGAAGGCAGAGGAAAACTGTAGTTTGGTGCCGAACTGGTCCCACAGGTGGCGCCAGAAATTCGATGTGAATTTCGGGTCTCGGTCTAAAATAATTGCGGTAGGCAGTCCGTGCAGTCGAATGACGTTGGTGATGAACAGTTGAGAAGAGGCTGTAGCAGTCCTGCCTTTTTCTGCCTGCTGCTCTTCATCCGCTGACACGTAGCACATGAGGTGACGAATTTCTGGACGTCGTTTGCCATATGGGGCTAGTAGTAGTGCTTTGCAATACCGGTGAGCGTTTTGTTGCTACCAAAGTGTCCCGTGTATAGGACATCGTGGTATTCTTCGAGTAGTAACTGGCGCAAAGGAGGGTAACTGGGTACCCATATTTTTGTTGATTCCTTCCGGTACGCGATGTCACTGTCCCACTGTTGCAGGTGTCGCTTTTCTGCCCAAAGAATTTTGGGGTCGATGATGTACCCGTGTGTGAAGAGTCCCTTGAGTAGTGGGTTTATCCCCTCGACCTGGATTGCGACAACGTATGCAGGCCGACTGAGAGCGTCTGCTTTGTTTTTGTGGCCGGGCTTGTACACGATGTCATAGTGGAAGTGCGTCTCGAGGAAGTCAATCCACTAGACCTGCCGCTCGGAGAGGTTTGGTTGTGTCTTCAAATATTTTAGGCTGCAGTGGTCGGTGTAAACGGTTGTCTTTCGTCCTTCAAGATAACACCTCCACGTTTTGAAGGCGATGATAATAGCAAGGGCCTCCTTATCGTGTATCAGTTAGTTTAGTTCTGCTCTGTGTAGTTTCTTGCTGAGGTAGGCGATTGGTTGCAATCCATTCCCTTGGTCTTGCATCAAGACTGCCCCCACCGCCTGGTCACTAGCGCCAGCTTCGATGACGTAGTCGCGCTCGGGGTCTGGCAAGATGAGTACGGGTGTGGACGTGAGTGCTTGTTTCAGCTGCTCCACATGTTCTTCTTCAGCAGATTCGTGAGTGGTGTTGCGATTTTTGCGTACTGTGGCACTAACCAGTTGTAATAGTTAGCGAAGCCTAGGAACTGCTGCAACTCCTTTACATTCTAGGGTGTCTTCCACGTGTGTACGACTTCGATCTTCTTGGGGTCGATGTGAACTTCTTGAGCGATCACCATGTGTCATAGGAATTGGACTTTCTCGAGTGTGAATTCGCTCTTGGATAATTTGACGTAGAATCGTTCTTGTCGAAGAATGTCGAAGACGCGTCACAGGTGTTGGACGTGCTGCTGCATGTCGCGCGAGTAGATGAGGATGTCATCCAGGTACACCACCACGCATTCGTCGAAGATTGAGCGTAGAATATGGTTCATTCCGGCTTGGAACGTTGCCGGTGCGTTGGTGAGCCCGAACGGCATTACCAGATACTTATATGACCCGTACCGAGTACGAAAGGCAGTTTTGTGGACGGAATTGTCCGCCATTCGTATCTGCCAGTATCTGAACCGCAGATTCAGTTTGGAAAATAACCGTGGCTCCCCAAAGCTGGTCAAGCATGTCATCAATTCGTGGGATTGGGTATTTGTTCTTGATGGTCTGCTTGTTGAGAGCTCGGTAATCGATGCACATGCGCAGGCTTCCGTCTGGTTTTGGTGTGAAGAGTACTGGGGCACCGTTTGGCGAAGTGGATGGTCGGATGAGTCCTTTTGCGAGGAGATACTCAATATGTTTCTTCATGTCGGCTAGCTCCGTCGGGCTGAGCCAATATGGTGCTCGGAAGGTCGGCTTCGAACCTGGTTCTTCCACGATCTCGTGTTGGTGCATTCGGTATGGCGGTAGCTCGTTCGGAAGGTCGTCGGGAATGACTTCAGTAATTCCTTGATTTTTTGTGGAGGTTCTGAGGTTTTCTCTTCGTCGTTTTCCACTTCTGTCGCTATCGCCAGGAACCCAGTGTCGGTTTGCTTTACGTCCTTCTCGAATCTTGCGAGTGTCTCCACAGGGATATCTCCTGTATCGTCCCAGTTGGGTAGCTGAACTCTCCTTCCATTGTTGTAGATGCTTGCGGTAGAATTTTCCCAGTTGATCACGGGGTTGAATCTTTTTAGGAAGTCTCACCCGAAGATCAAGTCAAGCCCTTTTCATATTTGTCATGGGGAGTGCAGGTTTCCATCGCAGTGGTCCGCTTTGTAGGTGTAACACTGCTTTGCCGTGTACTGGTAACTTGCTGACGTCCACCATCGTTGTAGAGAATGCTGAAGGCTTGTACTCTTCCCGAAGTCGGTCGATTACTGCCTTGTCGCAGACGGTGTGTGATGCTCCGCTGTCCACGAGCTTCTTGTAAGTTAAGGAGTTTGTGGTTTTTGCAGCTTCTTGTAGACCCCTAGCTTCTTTCCACACTCCTTAATTTTGTCCCCAAGTTTTCTGGTACTGGTATGATCTCCACAAGCTTCTGCTTCATCTAGAGTCCCTCCCGAAATTTCTCCATTGTTCTAGCCCCTCGAGAATCATAAGTTTTCATTAAAGCATCCTTATAAGGTAACGTTAACGAATCTTGATAATTTCTTGGGTCTTCTCGGAGTTTCCCCGTCTCGGCAGAGTCCTTTTTCGCGGAGTCAGATTTTTTCTCGGCGATTTTCTCTGGCAAAGATTGGTCGTGGGAAGGAGATTTTTCCCCATCATTTCCTTCTGCTCGCGTCGAATCAGCTTCGTTGAAGTTGATTTTCGCGGAATCCCACGGCCGCTTTCAGATCTTTTCTTTTTCGCCAGCTAGATCGCAAATCACTGGCGAATTCCGTTTTTTTTTCTTTTGATTGGCCAAAGAATTTCAGCCACTGTTGCGTGCCCGATACTTTGCTCGTGTGGCTTTCATTTTGTTGCAGTCAAAGATTCGATGGCCTGGCACCCCGCAAAAATAACACGTGTAGTTGGTGTTTTTCGGACGTGACTGCCCGTCGAACCTGTCGATTTCCATCGGGCCGGCGAACGTTGGGTGAGCCGAGTGGGTCGCCCTGTCGCGTAGTGCCGACGTGCGCCCGTCGTGTTCCGGCGGCGTTGACCATGTCAAACCGCTGTGCTGCCA